CATATATAAATTCAACCCCACACCAAAGGCACATTACAATTAAACTGCTGAAAACTAGTAATAAAGATAAATTCTTAAAAGCAATCAGAGAAATAAAACACATTACATATAGAGGAACAAGATAAGAGAACAGCAGACTTCCCTTCAAAAACTATGTATGGTAAAAAACACGCCATGGTTAAAGTGCTAATAGGAATAAAATACAACCAAAATCCACCCCCACCTCCTTCACGCCCTCCAAAAAAAAAACCTGTCAACACAAAATAAAAGCTCAAAACTTATCACTGGCAGACCTATATTATGAGAAATGTTAAAGGAAGTTCTATAAGGAGTAGAAAAATTACACTAGAGAGCATTGTGGGAAGGGTAAATGTATGGATAAATATAATTTTTTCTTAAATTTCTTTAAATTATAACTATTTAAAGCACGCACAATAACAGTGTACTGGAGTTTATAACACATGTAGAAGTAAAATGTATGACAACAACAGGACAAAGGATGGGAAGAGGTAAATAGAAATATATTGTGAAGTGGTATATAACACTTGGAATTTAACTGGGATAAGTTAGGCACATCTTATAAACAGTACAGAAGACATTAAAAATAATTTTCAAACAATGACTTATACCCAATGAGCCAACAGTGAAGATAACATGCAGTATTTTAAAATGTAAGAAATATTGTCAGGGATTAAAAAGGGACACTCTCATAATAAGAAAAAAGTCAATCCATCAAAAAATATAAAAATCATAAATATGCCCTGGCCAGTTTGACTCAGTGGTTAGAGCATTGGCCCGTGGACCAAAGAGTCACGGGTTTGATTCTGGTCAAGGGTATGTACCTTGGTTGTGGTTCGGTCCCTAGCCCTGATCAGAGTCGTGCAGGAGGCAAACAATCAATGTGTCTGCCTGCGTGTATATGTATGTATGTCTCTCTCTCTCTCTCTCGCTCTCTCTCAGCCCCTTCTTCTCTCCCACTCTATCTAAAGATAAATGGAAAAATATCCTTGCGTGAGGATTTTTTTTTTTTTAAAAAAAGATAAATATGTATGCATCCAATACGAGTTTCAAATTACATGAAATAAAATATTATAAACTGAATTTAAAAAGTAATTTACAATTACATAAAAAACATGATATATGTAGGGATAAAGATAGCCATAAATATGTATAACACTGAAAACTACAAAATACTGCTAAGAGAAATTAAACAATTGTCCAAAAATTGATTGATAACTTCCATGTTGATTGATAAAATCCCCTTAGGTGCCCTGGCCAGAGGTGCTCCGTGGTTAGACTCTTAAGAGTGTTGGCCCGCACCCTGAAGGGGTATCAAGGCATGTCAAGGGCACATACCTGGGTTGCAGGTTTGATCCTGGGCCCTGGTCAGGGCATGTGTGGGAGGCAACCAATCACCGTGTCTCTCTCACATTGATGTTTTTTCTCTCTCTCCACCCCCTTTCCTTCCCTTCCACTCTCTCTAAAAATCAATGGAAAAAATATCTTCAAGTAAGGATTAACAACAATAGCAAAAATCCTTTAAGCTTTTGGTTTTCTGTAAGAATTAACAGTACGATTCTAAAATCACACAGAAATACAAATATCCTAGTATAGGCTAACAATTTTGAAAAAAACACCACCACCACCCTGGCTGGTTTGGCTCAGCGGTTGGAACATCTGCCTGCCGACCAAAGAGTCCTGCATTTGGTTCCTGCTAAGGGCACATACCACCTAAACAAAACACAAAGCTGGAAGACTCATTTACCAAATTTCAGGCTTGCTATATGAAGCTGTAGTAATCAAATCAATATAGTATTGACCTTATAGATAAATGGGACAGAATGGAAAGTCCAGAAAGATTCACAAATATATGTTCAACTGATTTTAGACAAAGATGCAAAAGTAATACAATGGTGAAAGAATAGTTTTTTCAACAAATGATACTGGAAGGATTGTTTATCAATTTATCCTTACCTGAAACCACACACAAAAATTAATTTCAAATGGATCACAGACCTAACCATAAAAAATAAAACTTAAAAATGTTTGGGCAGAAAAGAAGAAAGCCTTCCATAACCTTGGGTAAACTAAGATTTCTTAGGTCACCAAAAGCACAAAACATTTTTTTTTTTATCCTTACCTGGGACATTTTTCCATTTTTTGTTCAGATAGAGCAGGAGCGAGAGAGAGGAAGAGAGAGAGAAAAAAAAACATCGATGTGAAAGGGACACATCTAGTGGCTGCCACTCGCACAACCCAGCCAGGGCCGGGGACAAACTGCAACTGAGGTACGCGCCCCTAGTGGGAACCAAACCCGGGTCTCTCCAGACCGCAGGCCGACGCTCTAAGCGCTGAGCCAAACTGGCCAGGGCCACAAAACATTTTGAAAAACTGAACTCAAAATTAATATTTTCTCTTCCTCAAAAAACAAACAAACAAAACACTGAAAATGAAAAGGCAGGCCATAGACTAGGAGAATATGTTTGCAATGTATATATATCTGGCAAAGTATATAAAATAATAGTTAAATTCAATAATAAACTCATTGGAATGATAAAAATCAGGATAGTGGTTTCTTTTGGTGACAGAGGAAAAATACAGGGAAGCTTGATTACACCTACGTTTAATTTCTTTAAAAATTGCTGGGAAGTGGGTACATGGGCCTTTATTATAATTTTATTTATTCTTTACTCCATGCATAAAATATATATAATTAAAAGAAAAAGTAAACACTATATCCAAAGAGAGAGCTTAATTCATATTATTCCATTAAATCATCACAGTTACTAAGACATTTAAAGAAGAATTTTGTTATTGCTGTTAATCCTCACCCAAGGATCTTTTTCCATTGATTTTTAGATAGAGTGGAAGAGAGGTCAGGGAAGAGAGGGAGAAACATTGACATAAGAGACACATCGTTGGTAGCCTCCGACATGACCCCAACCAGGGCCGGGGATCAAACCTGCAACCCAGGTATGTGCCCCTTGACTGGGAATTGAACCCGAGACCCTTTGGTCTGCAGGCCAATGATCTAACCACTGAGCAAAACCAGCCAGGGCTAAAGAAGGATTTTCTCTCATGTCTTATTCACCTATGGACACACATAAATATATGTAAAACTGGAGCAAAGAAAAAGATTCAGTCATATTTCTAGTTTCCTACTAGTCATTCCTATTTGGCTGCTTAAATGTTTATATTAAAACTTCAAACTTATTAAAAATTGAAGTTCACTAATCTTTCCTCCGACCATGGACTCAAGATCTTCTTTGTTCTTTGTTGGTTCCACCACTTTATAAATTAGAAAGGATAGCATGTTGTTTAAGAGCACAAGCTCTACATTGACCTGTGCACCAAAGAGTTGCTGTTCAATTCCCAGTCAAGGACATGTACCTGGGTTGCAGGTTTGATCCCCAGCCTCAGTTGGTGCTGTGTAGGAGGCAACCAACAGATGTGCTTCTCATATCCTTCCTCCCACTCTATCTAAAAATCAGAAAAAAATATCCTTGGGTGAGGATAAAAAAAAAAAAGCATATGCTCTAGAGCCAAATTGCCTATGTTCAAATCTTGACCACACCTCAAACACTGCCTGACCTTGGATAAGTTACTTAAATCTCTCTGTGCCTCCAAATAAATGTTGAATACATATAAGGTGCTCAGAGCTAAACCTGGCAAATAGTCATGCACAATAAATGTTAACCACTCTTTAAAAAAAATCTTCTGATTGCTACTATCACTATTATTACAACTATGTCCTGACTTATTTTTGTTTCTTTCTTTTTTTTTTTCTTTATCCTCACCCGAGGATATTTTTCCATTTTATTGTTCAGACAGAGTGGGAGGGAGGGGGAGAGAGAGAGAGAAACATCGATGTGAAAGGGACACATTGAGTGGCTGCCACCCACGCGACCAACCAGGGTCGGGGACAAACTGCAACCGAGGCATGCGCCCTTAGCGGGAACCGAACCTGGGTCTCTCTGGACCGCAGGCTGATGCTCTAACCGCTGAGCCAAAGTGGCCAGGGCTCATTTTTGTTTCTTTCTTGTTGCCCCTATATCAATGAAGGTACTAAATTCTGTTGATTGTTCTTAGAACAATCTGACCTATTCCTATTTATGGACATTAGTAGTGGAGGTCTAGACTACTACAGCCAACTTCCTTTTCTTTAATTTCTCGCCATTCCAATCTATTACACACTACTGGGTTCCCAATTAATCACCATTATAAAGAAACATGGTGATGGAAAGTCTCAAGGTTGAGTGTTAATCCTATAAATATCAAAGAAAGCTACATTTATTACTATGAGAGCAACAATATATTACAAATTGCTTTTGAGTAGAATTAGCAGTTCCTTATTATATCAGAAATCTCTCCTAACATAGTTTGAGATTTAGTATAAAAATCACCAGTATTTCTGAGTACTCACTTACCTGTTTGGGCCCTAGTCTCTTTTGTTATAAGTAAAACGTTTATAAGAGCCATCAGTCTATGCTCCCAGATCTTAGAAAGTAACACTAATTGAGCACAACATTCTTTCCTGATGAGTCCAAAGTAAGCACAGTTATTGAGGAAATTAACACCAAGAGAGGAACTGGCAGAGGTGAACCTAGGTGTCATTTTGAACTATATAATCTCTGGAGTTTCTCCTAATTTTAAAGGTCTATGAGTCTATTCTAAGCTATACAAATCTATTAAAAAACTCCTCTAATTTAAAATTAATAATTAATTTGAAAGAAAATCTAGAAAGCATCCTGAAATCTTTCATAAAAATTATTTTTGTATTGCTTCAAAATAATTTGGTTTAAATTTTTAAAATGTATTTTAAAACAAATTTCACTGTGATACTTCATTATAAATTCATGCTTTGGTGGCAATGCATTTTGGAACACTACTAAAATGAGCCCAGAAATTGGATATGGGCACACAAAAGTTACACAGCTACTCTTCGAAAGTAGTTCCTGGAAATTTGAAAAACACGAACTTAATTTTTTTTTAACATTTACCTTTTTTCTTCTTTTGCTCTCAGCTGTTCTTCCTGTCTCAAAACTTGAACCATTATAGATTCAAAAACTCCACTTGTCAAGCCTGCCAAACTTCGCGTTGTTGACCGACGCCTTGTTGAAGTACATGCAGTTCCCTTCTCATCCTCCAATCCATAATAGCCTCTAGATGTAACTGCTATCGTTGTCTTTTCTCTCAAGTGCCTTGGAGAAGAATAAGTCAATTTACAAGGTCAAATCTTCTGGGTAAGCAATAAACACCCTTAACCAGCATCTTAAGAAGAATTCCTTTTGCTAACTAGTTAAACCTTACTTAGCTATGCTCCAGATTTTTATCCTCCTTACATAATTTCTAATTTTCCTTACTCATCTCATAAAATCACTGAGTGATAATTCCTTCCCTACAGTAAAAAAAAATATACATATACATATATATACACACACACACACATATATATGTATATGTATAACTGAAGCATTAAAATTAAGGATTAAAGCACTATCTCTTTAATGGAAAAAAAGTTTACTATTAGCAAAATTAAATGTAGCTTATCTTACCATCTATTCACATATTTCATACTATCTATCATTGGTGTGGGAAGATGTACAATAATACAAGAAGACTTTGAGAGAGAAAAATGTATGATACATAAATACTTTAAAAAATCATAAACAAATGTAGCATTAAAATATATTATTTTGAGTTGTATTACAATATATAACTATAAACTTGGAAATCTTCTGACTAAATTATAAGAATCTAGATTTCTTCTTTAACCTCACCACAAATGTTTCCCTACTCTATAGTATTTTATTAATACATTAAGATACTAACCTAATTTTTAAAGATACTGATGAAAAAGTTTCTCAGCAATTTGTTTAATTATCCATAAATCCCCTTAATGAATTTGAAATAATTGATTAAAACCATTTACAATGGAAAAAGAAACATTAAACAAAGTTTTAAGTCTAGAATAAAAAATGACCTCTGAATTTGTATCTATATGTGTTAATTGAAAAAAGCATCGGGGAAGAAATATCTGCTCTTCTACCTTTGTAAAGAATATCAGAGCCTCCAAGGGTTTTACACATATTGTTGTTTCTACAATGGCAAAATCAAGTCACTACTCAAAGTAAGCATTCAATATGCTGGATAAGAATTTATATAAATTCAAAGTTGACCCTGTAGTCATATTTTCCTGCTTTCCTATAGGCTTTTTAAAAATATAAGCTAAAAGTTCACCAAAACATAAACCTTTATGGCATGAAATACAATCAAACTCCTGTCCATCTTGGACTACATTCAGAGTGGTTTATTACTCTAGGTTAGAAAACTTAATAACAATCTTACTCTCAGGCTATCTAGGTCCCATAAATGGTATGCCTGTAAGGTTCGATTAACTATGGCACTATTATGTGTTTCTCTGTTATAAGGAGATAATATTCTAACAATTCAACTTTAGGTAGGGAGTGAAAGTTTAAACTGGTTTTCCAATAATTCTGGAGAATTTGAGATAAACTATCCATACTTTTCAGGCTATGATTCTTTTGTGCACAATAGCATTATATCTGTATGATGGCTAATTGGGCTGAGAGTGAGTAATGTGGGCCTAAGGAAAATAAGATGACTGGAAATAACAGACACTGAATGGATACACTTGGGTTCATTTTAGTACAGAGTTTTTACTGGGGAACTAACTACATCTGAAATTTTAATCACTTCCTCATCAATACTAATAGAACATTAATAAACAATATTACACTGAAATATGATGACTTCTCAGAGGTCACAGTGTATATAGAGCATTGGAGATAAGGAGAGTTGAAGAAAATAGTAAGTGATATGGGTAAATTGTTATATAAAAAGTCAGAAACTCATTTTTACCCTTCAATTTTATTTAGTCTTTCTTATAAGTAGAAAAGAAGAAAATAAACTACATTTTTCAATGGTATTTCCTCAGAACAAAGACCAAAGAGAAATTAATATCCTTTATTACTTATTAGAAATAAAAATTTACACGCTTTGATACTTATTCATAACTAAAAAAAGTGTTTCTCTCATATCAACAAATAAAGATAAAAAGACTGATATTACTCAGTGTTGGAGCAGGTTCTAAGGAAAGAAAAATTTTCATACAGAAGGAGAAAAAAATGGTGGCAGAGCGAATGGAAGCTACACTGACGGTCTCCCAGGACCAAACAGGAATTACAACTAAAACAAAGAAAAGTCACCCAGAATAACCAACTGAAGACCAGCTGGAGAGAACCCTTATAATCAAGAGCATAAATAGCAGCCCAAATTGAGTCTGGCAGAAGGTGCGGAGGCATGAGAGGGCTGGCTGGACTCCCACAAGCAGCAGCTGAGGACTATCTTAGCTGTGAGAAGTTCCTGGAGAAGTCTGGGGTTTAAGCCCCAAGCCGGGCTCCCCAGCACAGAGTGGCAGAACAGGAAAAGGCGCTCATATAACACCTGGCTGTGAAAAACACTAGAGCAGAGTTCCTGCTTTGCAAGGAGAGGCACTGGTAACACAGGCATCTGCATGATGGGCCAGTAAATTAAATTTCAGTTACAGACATTCATCTTGGGCTCTAGCAGAGGGAGGGCTGACTGAACTGGAATTGCATGAGGAGAGTCAGGGGTTCACGGTGCTGAGGAGAGAGCTGGGAAGGAGGCCATCAAGAGCCCTATGCTGAGTCACGTCACCATGCTACAGAAACCATTTTATTCAGGCCGTTTTCCCATGAAATCAGTTATAACCTGGGTGAGGGGGCAGCAACTGCCTACTCATTGAAATTACACTCCGCCCACCAGGAGGAGTTTGCACCTAGCACAGAACTGCAACCTAAGGCTCTTTAACTGCCACAGACTACCAATCAGCCTGCAGGCAGAGTCAGGTCTCTGGGTGCTTTGAGCGTTGGGCCTGGCTAATGGTCATTGGGTTTCATGGCTCTGGGGACAGAGCTGAGAAGGTGGCTGCCTAGGTCTCTGTGCTGAGTCATTAACCACACTGCAGAAACCATCTTTCTCAGGCACAGTTTTCCTCTCAAAGCAGCTTTAGCTCGGGGAAGTAGGGGGTAATTGCCCCACCCACTGAAAATCCTCTCACTCTGCCCTGGTGAAGGAGGGACTTCCAACTAGCTGTAGACTACAATCTGAGGCTCATTAAGTGACAGACTAATAGTCAGCCGGGAGACAGAGGCAGATCTCTGGAATATTTCAGTCTTTGCCTGGCCTGCGACTATACCCAGGACAGTAAAACCAGACACTGGTGTTCAGCTTGGTCCCTTTCATAACATCCAAACCCAGCAGAGGGAGCCACAATCTGTGGAAGACTGATACCCACAGGGAGATTTTGGCATGCTCCAAACCCTGCTGAGACAGCCAAAATGGTGAAACATAGAAACAAGTCCCACATGAAGGAACAAAAGAATTCTCCAGAAGAAGGGCTAAATGAAATGAAGATAAGCAAGTTATCAGTGAGGAGGTCCAAGTAATGATAAGGATGCTCAATAGCATTAGAAAAGATATAGAAACAATGAGAAACGACCGATTGGAAATCAAGAATGACATGGCAGAAATAAAGAACACATGGGAAGAAATAACCAGCATATTAAAGAAAGCCAAGGATCAGATCAGTGAATTAGAAGATAGGGTAGAAAAAAATCACTCACTCAGAGAACCAAGAAGAAAAAACAATTAAAAAACAGGACAATTTAAGAGAGCTATGGGACAATATGAAATATAACAACATCCATATCATAGGAGGACCAGAAGAAGAAGAAAGTAAGCAAGGATTAGAGAATCTGTTTGAAGAAAAGGTGGCAGAAAACTTCCCTAACTTGGTGAAGAAAAAAGGCACACAAGTTAAGGAAGCACAGAGAGCCCCACGCTAGAAGAACCCAAAGAGGCCCAAACAAAGACACATCATAGTTAAAATGCCAAAAACTTAAAGGCAAAGAGAGAATCTTAAAGGCAGTAAGAGAAAAGCAACAGGTTACCTACATAGGAGCTCCCATAAGGCTGTCAGCTGATTTCTCAACAGAAACACTACAGGCCAGAAAGGAATACCATGAAGTATTCAAGGCAATGAAAAACAAGAACCTTGCCCTGGCCAGTTCGACTCAGCAATCAGAGCATCGGCCCATGGACTAGGGTCCTGGGTTCGGTTCCCACTAAGGGCATGTACCTCGGTTACAGTTTGTCTCCAGCCCTGGTTAGGGTCGTGTGGGTGGCAACCACTCAGTGTGTCTCTTTCACATCAATGTTTCTCTCTTTCTCTTTCTCTTTCTCTTTCTCTTTCTCTTTCTCTTTCTCTTTCTCTCTCTCTCTCTCTCCCCCCCCTCCCTCTCTCCCTCCCTCCCTCTCTCCCTTCTGCTCTATCTGAAGATAAATGCAAAAATGTTCACAGGTGAGGATAAAAAAAAAAAAATTAAAAAACAATAACAACAAAAAACAAGAACCTTAATCCAAAACTACTCTATTCAGCTAAGTTATCATTCAAAATAGAAGGTGAAATAAAGAGCTTCCCGGATGGGGAAAATAAAAACAAAAACGCTAAAGCACTATATTACCACAACACCAGTACTGCAAGAAATGTTAAAGAGACTGCTGTAATAACGAGAAGAAATATATAGAGAGAAACATAGACAAAATAAATTAAAATGCCAATAAATAAGTACATATTAAATAATAACCTTAAATGTAAATGGATTAAGTGCTCCAATTAAAAGACAGAGTAGCTGAATGAATAAGAAAGCATGGCCCATTTATATATGCTGTCTCCAAGAGACCCATCTCAGAACAAAAGATTCACACAGGATGAAAGTGAAGGAATGAAAAAAATTTTCTGAGCAAATGGAAATTAAAGGGGGGGGGGCAGCAATATTAATATCTGATAAAATGAACTTCAAAATGAAGGTCATAATAACAGACAAAGAAGGCCAATACATACTATTAAATGGATCTATCCAATAAGAAGATATAACCTTGGTAAACATATATGCACCCATTATAAGAGCATCTAAAATATATTTAAAAACTTCTGGATGACATCAAGGGAGAGAGCCACAGCAATACAATCATAGTAAGGGACTTTAACACACCCACTGACATCACTGGATAGATTCTCTAGACAAAAAAATTAACAAGAAAACAGAGACCCTAAATGATGCACTATATTAGATGGATTTAATTGATATTTACA